GAAACTTTAGATGACTATCTAAATAGATTCAGGCAATTGAAATCTCGATGTTATACTAATATACCTGAACATGAATTAGTTAGGATTGCAGCAACGGGGTTAGATTTCTCGATACGCAAAAAATTAGTGAATGAACAGTTGAGAGACATGGCCCAATTAGCCGAGAAGGTAAGAAGAATTGAGCAAATCAAAATAGAAAAAGAAAGATTAAGAAAACTTGATAAGTTTGTTCGAAAGGAAAAGGTGGCTTACTTAGAAAATTCTGAATTCAGTGAAGATTCTAACTGTGAGGTTTCGAGTGAAGATTTTGAGATCAACTTAGCAGAACTGTGTCCTGGCCCCACGTATCAGTGTCAAATGTTAAAACCAGGAGATAGTGTAGAAGGAAATTCGACTAAGAAATATAGTTTCGACGTAACTAAAGCATAAAATATATTTGATATCTTACTAAAAGATAAACAAATTGTACTCCCAGAAAATCATAAGATCCCATCATTCGAGCAGAGAAAAGGAAAGAAATTTTGCAAATATCATAATATGTATGGTCATTGGACTAACAACTGTGTGCGTTTCAGGGATTTGATCGAAAAGGTGATTACTGATGGTCGCCTTGCTTTCGGTGAAAAGGACATGAAAGTTGACACAAACCCATTCGCTGCTCATACTGGATACGTCGAACCAGTTCCGATGGGGATCAACATGGTGGATGTTGCTGTCGAGGATGATGAGAACATCGAACCCATTTCTGATGAAAAGCTCGAGGAATTAATGGAAGATTTCGCTAAGGAACAGGAGCCCATCTACCCTAAAGAGGGAGACAGCTTAGTCGAATTCTTGTCTAAAAAGAAAGAGGTTGATAGGGAAGTAATGTTATGTCCTCGATGCAGCGCTATTTTCGATAGAGCTGCTACTAAAGCCTTTGAAGAATCAGATATGATGAGGAACTATAAAGCTGAAAATATTCGACAAAAACCCAAGCCCCTCATATAAACAAAATAGCATATTAAAAGTTATACTACCCTTATCATGCTCATACATACTAGATTAAGTCTTATAAGTACTACCCTTACTTGGATAAACCTGAACCAAAACTTGGGCAGACCTCCTCCTCTTCCTTAAACAAGAACCGAAACTCGGGCTGAATCTCCTCCTCTCCCTCCTCTTTTCTCTCCCCTAGCAGAACCTCCTCTACTGGATTCATCTTCCTTTCTTTCCTCTTTTCTTTCCCCTCCTCTCCCTTTTCTTTCTCTCTCTAGGACCTTCTCTCTCAATCCTGCTTTTCCAACACCCCCAACCCCCTATTTATAGAGTTCTGCCTGCCTAACCCGGAACGGCCCGTTCCAAAAGCGGAACGCCCGTTCTGGGCCTGAAAAATCCACGTAAAATTTTGAATTGGAACGGCCTGTTCCGAAACCAGAACAGCCCGTTCCGAGACTCATCCAGAACGTCCCGTTCTTCTTCCGGAAAGGCCCGTTCTCCTTCCAGAACAGCCCGTTCCAAAATCAGAACGGCCCGTTCTCCTTGTTGGAACGGCCTGTTTTGGGCCCGTTCCCAACTTAAAATTTAGTGCCTTTTTATTGCTTGGAACGACCCGTTCCAATTTTGGAACAGCCCGTTCCAAGTTACCCATTTACCCCTCAAACTTTAATAAAATTGCGAAAATGCCATTAATAAAAATTACAAAAATACCCCTTTAAAAAATGAATATTACATGTCTCACTACAAGACTCTATGCACAATTTCCATCATATCATCATCACAAGTTCATGTCACATAGCTTTATCACAAGTTCAAGTCATTCACATACCATATCATCATCATTTCATTCTCATATCACACATTATCATCACCTTACATCTCATCATTCACCAATGTCGTAAATGTTGCACACAACATTCTCAAGTCAAATATTAACATTCCATATCACATCATGCATAATCATCTCATATCACATATAAAGTTCTCATGTCATGCATAAACATTTCATATCATGCATATCATGTAAAACTCATCCCATACAAGCATAAAGACTCAAACACAAGGTCTTACAAATATAATTTCAAACCTTTGTCATAACTTACTCATAAATCATTCATAAATATTCCTTCTCATACTTTCTCTTTATTAACTATTGATATAAGTATCTCAAATTATTCCAATATTAAGAACTTAAAGGATAGAACAACTCACTACTACAATTCACAAATTATCTCTTCTTATTTTAAACTTATACGACATTGTAGGGTTTATATGAGATATTTGAAATTATAATTATGATATCAATTTGATCTTAATTTTATTGGAAGGAGAAGACTATTATCTACAACTTCTATGTTGACCTCAAGAGTTGATTTTATCATTTACTATTTTTACAAATTACAAAATCGTAACATTTAAGCCTAAATCTAAAACTTGATTTTCACTCACTAATTTGATCAATACTTGAGTTCTAGACTTTTTTTTGGGTGATTCTAACACCATTAGAAAGCTAACATCTAAGACTACAATTATTATGAAGATATCAAAAGTTAATTCGGTCATTTAAGTCTCATCGCAAGGCTTACAAGGTATGAAGGTTGCATTTCACGTACAAAATGTAAGACTCATCTTCTAACTCACACAACTCGGTCATTTCTTAACATATTTATGTGATTCTTGAGTCTAAACTATAATACCAAATGTCTACTTTCTAATTCAACAAACGAAACTCTATTTAGTTAATCACATAGAAAGAAATCACGTAAATATTAAGATAGGTTCATATAAAAATTTTCAGAATAAAATACAACTCACACTCAAACTCACTTCTCCCAATCCAATCGATTAAAAACATAATTAACACCTAAACTATACTTCTATACCATCAATTAATCAAACACATATATCAATTTCACAAAAATCTTTCAATTTCATCAATCTTCATCTTAGGGTTTCTTACAAAATTTCATAGATTCACAATTAACCCAAATAATTTGTAATTCATTACATATATAATTCAAAGATTAACCGTAGAACACATACATATCGTACGACATGCATTACTCAACTACAAGCACAAGTTTTGGGTTTTCCCCACAAAACACAAAAGACAAACAATAAGATTGGGGACCAATCCCAGTATCCAACTGATACCCCACACTCTAGAGAGAAAATTCTCACTCTCTCTTACCTCAATAGATGCTTGATGATGAATGAGAATCACTGGGATGTACTCCTGGAACCTTTGCATTTTCCTCTTGAAACTCTTGGGTTTTAGAGAAAAAAGCGTAAAGAAAAAAGGAAGCTTAAAAATAATGATGGATTTCTTAAACTCCTGTTTTTAAAAACAAAACCCTTTTTCTTTATTTAAAATAAAATAATTATAAATAAAATAAAAATACAAAAAAATAGTTATAATAAAAATACACATTTTCTCTAATTAAATTATATAACAAATTAATTTCTCAATTTTAATAATTAAAATAAAACACTCATAATTATCATTTAAAAAGCTTCTAATTATTTTATAAATTTCCTTAATTAATTAAAACACCTTTTTAGTAATTTTAGAAAACTCAAATGTTACATTTGCACATCTCTTAAAAAATATTTAATACCAGTATGTTAATTAAGTCTAAAATACTCCATTTAATACATTAGAACTTGTAGAATAAGACTAATTATGATCATGAAATAGAAATATTAATTGTCAAATAAGAATATACATTAAAAAGTAATTAAATATCACTTAGAATGTGTAAAACATAAAAAAAAATTAAAAAGAGAAAGTCTAAAAATTAAAAAAAAAAGTTATGATCTAGAAGGAGTAGAATATATCAACACTATTGTTATTATTGGCTATCACCATTATTATTTTCACTATTGTTGTCGTTGCAACAACTATTATATATCTACTATTACCATCACTATTATCACCATTACATGCACAACTACCATCATTATTATCACCATACATTTTAACCCATGTGACTATCATCATAAGTCTATAATCATTATCGTTATAGTTAGTGCTTCAATCATTATCGTTACTATTGTCACCATATCAGCCTCTACTACCACCATTTCAAATACAAAATAAAATAATACAATAAATTTATTTTATATTCACCATGCAGAAAAAGTTAAAATTTCATGTTTTTTATCCTACTCTTATATCTATTTAACACATCACCAAATGGGTTATTTAAGGGTATAGATTAGATGTAGCTTTCAAATTTTAAAGGTGAACTAATGTAAAATCTTTAGTACTGTATTATCTTCTTGTCCCTAATCTTTATTAACTGTGAATTAATCCAAAAAGAGATACTCTGTAAGGCGCATTATTTGAAAAAAACAATGTTTTCACTAAAATAGTTCTTTGCATAATCGGATCCGTAAAAGATGATATATCTTATCTTCCTAACTCTGAAAACCCTCCTCATTCTTTTATTGGCTTTCAATAATTTTCCATGTTTGAAAATGTTTTCAACACTACAGTTCGATTCCCCATGCAATTTTGCGCTTGTCTTTTTGAAAAAGGTTTCATGTCCATTAACAACGGTTCCATGCAAATAAAGTCAATTTTTGTGGTAATACCGAATCTTAATATTTTAAATAAAATTAATTTCATATTCAAAGAGTTCAGGGATATCAAGTAAAAAATAAATAAATAAATAATATCAATTTTAAGTAATAAAAACTCAAATTCAAATTCGTAAAAAATTTATTTAAAACTTCATATAAAATATTCTTCCTTAGATATATTGTCATTTTAATACTCGATTTAACAACACATCTTTATATTATTTCAAGGTATATGTTGTGGATTCCGATTCAGGCATGATGATGAAAGAACATGGACAGTAGTCTCTAAAGTCTAAACAGGAGTGATGAAATTCTCATGCAACCCAAGATTTGGTGATAATCATTGGCATTGGTGGTTGTGGTTGTCAAACATGGGATGCAACTCACGGTTGATTATGGCTATTTGACCACTAATGCACCATCCTTGTTCCCGAGTAAACCAGACCAAAAGCACTAACCAATCGATAATGTCCATATTTTATGTATCCCTGTTGGAATCCGTTGAAAGACTAAAATATGTATAAAAAAATAACTTTGTCTATGAAAAAACCGACTCAAATCAAAACCACCCTCATGTGTATTCCTCCATCATCTTTCAAATTACGTGCAACAACACTTTGTTTGATCATCTAGCAAAAATTATAACATGCTGACGACATAATCATATAGAATATTGTATTGAACAAGATTATTACTCCAATTAAAAGGGCTATGCTAAAGGGTGCAGTGGCATGCACCGAGCCATATCATGATGACACGGTGATGGTAAAGTTTTAATTAGTTATTTATTATTTTTTAATAACTATAATATTAACTAGTACAAAGTTTCTATTGTTATTTCATTAAAACTAGTAACTAACTTTTCTTAGGACTGTGAAGACACATAAAAGAAATATTTTTTTTATAAATATAATTTATTTTATATTTAAAATTAGAATTTAAATTATAATAACTTAGTTAAGGTCAAAAATCATTATCACTTATCCACACAGTGTTGTAGTTAGAGAAGATAAAATGAGCCATGACCTATGAGTCAATTGATGGTTTGTAAAAAATTCACAGGTTGAATTAGGTATCCTAACTCGCCAACACATCTGACCGGTCTCGCTTAACCTACTAGATCACTAGGCCAAATGTGGGTTAGGACAGATTTATCACCTAAATTTCATTTACTTTTTTTTAGTGTGAAGTTTAACTAAAACATGTTAGATTTATTACATGTGTAATATGTAATTTATTATACAATAAATTTGTTAAAAGAACAAGTAATGTTATAATTATATCTATTTTATTATGCAGCAAATTTGATATTTGTTGTAAAATAAATCAAATAAAATACGTTATAATTTGAAGTTTATTTTATTATTCAGATACATTAATTTATGTAAATTTTGTAAATATTAAAAAAATGATCAAAGAAATACTAAAAATAAATAGTTTTTTTTGTTGTAATTTTTAAGAAATTGATCCACCAACTTGTTAATTTACCTTTGAATTTCATTTTCAAATCAATTAACATAAAGTGAAATTGTCTAAATAGATACGTATCGAATCAGACGGTATTTACCAGAATAGATAAAAATAAAATAAAATCTAAAATATGATATGATGTTAGATTTAATCGTAAAATTAATAAACATTAAATAAAATAGTGAATCTAAGATAATGTGCACCCAAAACAAAATAGAGATAGAGATAGAGGAGTGGGAAGAGGGTATAAAGAGAGTAAAGTGAGGCATTGAGTGAAGTATGTGGTGATGGAGTAATGGTAATGTAACCGACAAGGGACAAAGCTTAGGTAATTTAATTGGGTGGTCACATGCATCATGCATGGCAATTACTTTGTGAATGGGAAAATGTCATTTACCCAAACATGGACCCAAGGGAATGTAACGTTTGAGAGATGCACATCACATCAACTCGCCTGCTTCGGTCCCACTGTGTTTCCTCACAACCTCATGCATCCAATCCCTGCTTGCCACGTGGCCTCTGCTTTCATACATTACCAATTTTCATCTTTTATTCTTTCCTGCTGCGTGCCCTCTTTTCAGTTACATTCCCTTTTATTTGTACAATTCCTATTCCTAAGTAAAACATGTCACTAGTTTTATTTAGATGCCTAAAATTTACAAACATTTAAATAACATTCTTTCTTTTTCTTAATCTATTCTTATTATATATTAATTATATTTTTGTCTCTCAACTTTTTTCTATTAAGATTCTTAGTTTCTAAGAAAGTTTGACCGATCAAGATTTTCATTTTTCTTTCATGAATTTAACTTTTACTCCTTCAAATATTATTAAATAGATAAAGATAATAAAGTCTAAACTTTTGTTTTGAAATTAAAAATTAAATTTTTAAAGATTTGACCAGTCAAATCTTTGTTTCATGACTGAAAATTTAAATGAAAAATAATTTAAAAAAACTTTGACCAGTCAAATTCTTATTCAAGGACCAAAAACTAATATTCTAAAGAATTTTAGGGACTAAAAATTTATCTAATCTATTCTCTTTATCATATAATATCACTAAAAGTTAAGTTGTTAATACAAATTGTTCAACATTTGCAAGTTCAAAACTTTGATCCTTATCTTGAGAATGAAGTCACGACTTGATATGTTACTTTATTCTTAAAAAGAGTCAATTATACTAGAAATGACACAAGAGCAGAATGAAGGCAGGTATTTAGTTTGGATATCCATACTTTATTACATATTCAAATATATCATGAATACTTGTTAAAATGTAAAATTTTAATAAAAATGTAAGAAATAAAAAAAATAAAAATAATTAATTTTAAAACAAATATCTAAATATTAAAAATTAATTTTATATCATATATTTACACTAAAAAATATTATTATGACATATTTATTATAAAAAAAGGTAAACCAAATTATTTTATATATAACTAAAATTATTTTTAATATTATTAAAGTATAGGTATTAACGTATATGAATACTTCACTATTTGTCTCCATCCCATTATTAAATGGATATTCATTTAAAATTCATAATGAATTTTATCCAGAAATATCTACATATACGAGTCTTTTCGTTATCTCTAAATTATATCTCTTAATTATATATAAGAAAAGATATTGAGTAAACAGTAAATTTTGATTAAAGGTATAATACTTAATGTTATATTTTAAACTATAAATTAGTTTTTTAACTTTGTAACAGATTTTTTTCTGCACTGAACAAGAGGATCCATATATTTAGTATTTAAGCATCCATATTCCACAGTCCATATGATAGAGAATTAAAAAATATGAGCATAGGGGTTTGTTTGGTCGTTGAAAATTGGTGGGAGTGAGTGGGTGCTATAAAGACTAGTAAGTGTTGAACATTCCCATCCACCTTGCTCTCATATAGGAATTAAGAAGAAGGAGATGGGAAATTGCCAAGCCATAGATGCAGCAACACTAGTGATTCAACATCCAAATGGTAAAGTAGACAAATTCTATGCACCCTTGAGTGTCACCCATGTCATGAAAACCAACCCTGGTCACTACGTTGCTCTTCTCATCTCCACCACATTGTGTCCAACCAAGACTCACACCAACACCAACCCTGTTCGCATAACTCGCATCAAGCTTCTCAAGCCCTCTGACACCCTTGTCCTTGGCCAAGTTTATAGACTCATCACAACTCAAGGTTATTAATTACTTTGTTGCAACAGCTTGAAAAAGGTTTTGTGTATGTTTTTTCTCTTCTTGTTCCAAATTTGAGCCTTAAAGTGCTTCTTTTGGATTCAGAGGTCATGAGGGGTCTCAGGGAAAAGCAAAAGGCAAAGGTGAAGTCAGAATCAGCTCACAAGCCAGATTTGGTGAATGAGAAAGTGGGTTTGGAGAAGGAGAAAGTAGCAAAGAGGCCTGACATAGAGGACAGCAAGGTAAAAATTCCAACCAATTTTTTTTTTTTTTTCATTTTAATTTTACTATTTCCATTATAATTTCAGCCAGAGATCTTGTTAAATCTTACAGCAGCTAATTGAGTGGTACTTGATGTTTAGTAGTCCATCTGGTTATGCCCATCAAGAAACATCAATTTTTATGAACAGTGGATTTTATTATTGGGGTATTTTACAGGAGTTTGCAATTCTATTCAAAATTGTTTTTGCTAATCAAGCCTTGCCTAGTTTGTTTAGGAACTAGCGACCCATTTTTTCTGCAGAATGATGAATCTGATCTCATGTAAATGTGAATAAGATTCTCACATTAAAAAGAGTTGAATATGATGGATAACATTTAAGTGAGAAAAACTTATAAATATGATATTTTAATGTTTTTTATTAAGATATGTCAAATTTATTTGTGAGATTTACTTATAATCTATTCATAGGGTTTTTCTTTATTCTTTATGTTTAATCCTCTCAAGTTTGGAACAGAGAAAACATGTACATCAAAAAATTTAAATGTACAAAACAAGTATTGGATTTCAAAATAATGCAAGGAATTACTCACTAAAACTGGCCTAAAAGTTTGCATAAGGTCTTATACCTACCACAACACTGCAAGGAATTAAATTACTTGATTTTCATAGAGATCTATTGTATGCTGATTCATAATTGGTGATGATGCCACTCTTATAATTGTTACTTGTGATTGTTATTTCAGGTAATTACGAAAACTGAAAGAGCAAGACCAAGGGTAACAACAGGAACTAATAATGGTGGCGGTGGCACAGCTAAGACAAGATTTTGGCAACCCTCTTTGCAAAGTATCTCAGAGGCTGCCAGCTGATCTGTGTTTTCAATGTTACTCACATGTGCTGTGAGGGACAGAGGAGCAACTGAGAAAGAAAAAAGAGCAAAAAAAAAAAAAAACTCCATGATTGCTTTGTCATGTGGAAATTAAATATATAGATATATATATAGTGCTACACTGAGCTTCAAGGGTGATCAGAAATAACTGGGATCATAAAATTCTCCACTGGGTTGGCTCAGCCATAATTGTGTATAGTTTAGTTGACATATCCTGTATCTGTTACTCTTAGTGTAATTAGCTATTACTTCCCAATCAAATCAACCTTCATCGTCACAATTTCTCTAGTCACTCAAACACACTGTGTTTGTGTTTGGATTACTTTTCAATTTTACCAAAATCAATTATAAAATCACAGTGAAAGAAAAAAGTAATAAATAATTGTTTCAACATGCATTTTCAAAGTTTTTACCATGATTTTGGAATTCAGAATTGATTGTAAGTTTTGTAACACACTGTTATTGTGATTTCCCCCGATATGGCTTCGAATTTTGACACGCATTGATGTCACGAATATAAACTAAACAGATCAATACCAAAGATTATGATCAATTAATGTTATTGATACCTACTAATATATAAATATGCATATATTATTATTGATAGTTTTAGATTAAAAAAGTTATATAAATTTATAATATTATTTACATTATATTACTCCTTAAAATATATTAGCATTTGCATAGAGAATAATCCAACAATGGTCATTTGTTTTTCAACTTCTATAATTATTGTATATTTATAATAAAAAGAAATAATTCTTAAGGATTGAGATCTTGTGCAGATGCGAAAAATATATATGACGACGATGATCGCCTAATCTTAATCATTAACTTTACGATCAATAATATGATTTTACATTATTTTTTCTTTAAAATGTGTCCACAAGAATCATATCGCAAAAAATATTTAAATACATTAATTTAATCACCAAAAAAGCCTCTCTTTTTTTCTCTATATATAAACACCCAGCTAGCACATGAAATTCTTTTCTATTCACGGTTTAATCTTTAATTTTATTTTATTGATATGTACGAGTTAATATTAAAATAATTATAAATTACGTCATGCACATATAAGGTAAAATACAAAAGCAGAACAGAACAATTCAACCACAAAGTAGCTATCGTCTTTTTCCATTTATTAAAACTAAAATTAAGTTGGCCACAAAAGTTTAAGAAATATGTAGCTATAAATAATAGGTATTCTGTGCATTATACATTTTTTTTTAAATTAGGTAAATGTACAATATATTAAACAAAAATAAAAGAAAAATATTTTGTAAAATGTTAAAATTATAAAAGATATATATGAATATAAGGATATACACCTACACGTGAATCATGTGATTTCGATTATACTAACTTAATTGGTTGTCTTGAACTCAAATTTTGATACGTTCCATTAAATACATGGAAGCAAAGTTTCGTCACTACAATAATTTTACTCAATTTAAACATGATTGTGTAGTAAAAAAATTCTTGTGACCTACATAACAATAAATAAATAAAAAAGGTATAAACAATATAAGACTATTAAGTACGAACTCTTGTTATTGTGAAAAGCATAATTATAAATTTAGATCATACAATTATATATAAACGATAAAGTTAAAAGATAAATACACAAGTTTTAAAAGTGGTTATGGGATTACTATTCATTGTATAGCTTAGATTTATGATTTTCAATTCTCACAACCAAAAGTTTTTACTTAACATGTGACCATAAATAAAAATTAAAGAATATTTGAAATTATAAATATATATAATTACTTGAAAATAATTTAAATTTAATTTGAAAAGGAGAAGTTAAAGAATAAAACATTTTATTCTTTAAATAAGTACTAAAAATTTAATAAATTTTAAGAAATTAAACTCTAAGCATAAACTTTATTTGATCTTTTAAATGTACACTACCTTCTAAACTTACCCGTGTTTAAAAAACTTTTAATTTAAATACTTTTCAAGGATATACTATTATGTCTGATATTGATTGAAGAGATTTAAATATTAACTAAAGAAACTAAGAAATTTTAAAAAGATATTTAATTGAATACTTAATTAAAAAAATATTGATTTGATAGACATACTTGATAAGATAAAGAAAATATGGGAGTGTATAAGAAGATATATATATATCTATATATATATATTA